GCCCAAAATGAGCTGGGGAGCCACAAAATGAGCTGGTTATAGCCAAAATGGGCTGGTTCTAGCCCAAAATGAGCTGGGGGTGCCACAATGTGAGCTGGTTGTAGCCCAAAATGGGCTGGGGGTGCCACAAAGTGAGCTGGTTATAGCCAAAATGGGCTGGGGGTGCCACAAAATGGGCTGGGGGTGTCACAAAGTGAGCTGGTTGTAGCCCAAAATGGGCTGGGGGTGCCACAAAATGAGCTGGTTATAGCCAAAATGGGCTGGTTATCGCCCAAAATGGGCCAGGGGTGCCACAAAATGAGCTGGGGTGTCACAAAATGGGCAGGGGTGTCCTCAAAATACTCTGGGGGTGCCACAGTGAGCTGGTTCTAGCCCAAAATGGGCCGGGGGTGCCACAAAATGGGCTGGTTATAGCCCAGAATGAGCTGGGGGCGCCTCCAGATGGGCTGGGGGTGCCCCAAAGTGAACCAGGGTGCCTTCAAAATGAGCTGGGGTGTCACAAAATGGGCTGGTTATAGTACAGAATGGGCCGGGGGTGCCCCCAAAATGAGCCAGTTGTGCCCCATAATGAACTGATTATACCCCAAAAGAACCAATTTTGCCCATAATGGACCAATATTGCCTCGAAATGAACCAATATTGGTCTGGTCGTGCCCCCAAACGAACCGGTTGCGCCCCAAATGAACCAATTTTGCCCCAAAATGGATTGATTTTGCCCCAGAATGGACCGGTTGTGCCCCAAAATGGTCTGATTGTGCCCCAAATAAATTGCTTGTCCCCCCAGAATGAACAGTTGTGCCCCAAAATGAACCTATTTTTCCTCCAAAATGAACCATTTGTGCCTCAAAATGGACCAACTGTACCCCAAAATGAAGCAGTTTTACCCCAAACTGAAGGGATTTTGCCCCAAAAGGTGGAGTCCTACGTGTGCCGGATCTGCTCGCGGGGCGACGAGGACGACAAGCTGCTGCTGTGCGATGGCTGTGATGATAATTATCACATCTTCTGCCTCCTGCCCCCCCTGCCCGAGATCCCCAAAGGCATCTGGCGCTGCCCCAAATGCGTCATGGCGGTGAGGAGGGGGTGTGGGGACCCCAAAACCCCCCCTGGGGTCGAGGGGGGTGGGGAGCATTGAATTATGTCTGTGGGGTGGGGTGGGACCCCCAGATGGTGTTGGTCTGTGGAATTGGGGCCCTCAATGCCTTTTTGGGGGGGGGGCTTGGGACCCCCAGATTGCATCTACCTGTGGGGTTGGGACCCTCTTACCACCTTGCTGGGGCTGGAGATCCCTAAGTAGTGTCGATTTATGGGATTGAGACCCCCATATTCTCTTTCTGGGGAAGGGGGACCCCCAAATAGCATCTGCCTTTGGGATTGGGACTCCCAAATCCTCTTTGTGGGGCAGAGGACCCCCAAGTAGCATCTACCTTTGGGATTGGGACCCCCATGTCCTTTCTGTGGGGCGGGGGACCCCCAAATCGCATCTGTCTGTGGGTTTGGGACCCCCAGATCGCATCTATCTGTGGGTCAGGACCCCCAAATGGAATCTATCTGTGGGTTTGGGACCCCCAGATCACATCTATCTGTGGGTTTGGGACCCCCAGATCACATCTATCTGTGGGTTTGGGACCCCCAAATCGCATCTGTCTGTGGGTCAGGACCCCCAAATCGCATCTGTCTGTGGGTTTGGGACCCCCAAATTGCATCTGTCTGTGGGTTTGGGACCCCCAGATCACATCTATCTGTGGGTTCAGAACCCCCAGATCACATCTGTCTGTGGGTCAGGACCCCCAAATGGAATCTATCTGTGGGTTTGGGACCCCCAGATCACATCTATCTGTGGGTTTGGGACCCCCAGATCACATCTATCTGTGGGTTTGGGACCCCCAAATCGCATCTGTCTGTGGGTCAGAACCCCCAAATCGCATCTGTCTGTGGGTTTGGGACCCCCAGATCGCATCTGTCTGTGGGTCAGGACCCCCAGATCGTATCTGTCTGTGGGTTTGGGACCCCCAGATCACATCTGTCTGTGGGTCAGGACCCCCAGATCACATCTGTCTGTGGGTTTGGGACCCCCAGATCGCATCTGTCTGTGGGTCAGGACCCCCAAATTGCATCTGTCTGTGGGTTTGGGACCCCCAGATCGCATCTGTCTGTGGGTTTGGGACCCCCAGATCGCATCTATCTGTGGGTCTGGGACCCCCAAATGGAATCTATCTGTGGGTTTGGGACCCCCAGATCACATCTGTCTGTGGGTTTGGGACCCCCAGATCACATCTGTCTGTGGCTCAGGACCCCCAAATCGCATCTATCTGTGGGTTTGGGACCCCCAGATCACATCTGTCTGTGGATCAGGACCCCCAAATCGCATCTGTCTGTGGGTCAGGACCCCCAAATCGCATCTGTCTGTGGGTTTGGGACCCCCAGATCGCATCTGTC